TGCCAGGAGGTTGCCACGAGTCCCCGAATGGCTGACTTTCATTACCAGGCTCACCCCTCCATCAGAGAGCTCCCTAATTATGTAAGCTCCTTGTGGGTGGGAGTGGAGGGTGAGGTGGGCAGGGAATCTGATTGATGAGAGAAGCAGTCAGGAACTCCCAGGAACACCTACAACATTCATCACCCCAGTTCTGGCGTGGCCTCAGGCTTGTGGTGTGACCTCTAACATCTTGCCTCTCTGGCCTCAGATTCCCCATCTACTGTGAGAGACTGGACAGGTGATCCCCAGGTACAGCCCTGCCAGGTAGGGTTGCTGCCCTCTGCTTGCTCTTAAACCTTGCATCACAGAATGCGGGGGCACAAAGATCCTGATGTCTTTATAGAAGGGGGAGATTGGCCCAGAAAAGGGGGTTTCTAAGGAGGGTGAGCAGGCTTCAGGCACAGGCCCTGGAGCTTAAGCAATTCTACATGGACTTTGACCCCCTTTTACTGCCGGGAGCTCTTGCCCCCATCAGCATGGAGAATAGTGCTGGTCTGTCTCCAAGGAGCCCACAGAGAAGGAACGGAGCCCCCATCCCCAAGCTCTACCTGGTCTCTTAGGACAGTTTCCAGCCACTGCCCCAAAGCTGAGGCCTCCGAGGACTCCGGGAGGGGTCTGAGACCGGCCTGGCTCGGAGATGCGACCGGAGCCTGCCTGCCCCGGCGGACCCACCTCGAAGCAGTAGTCCTGGCCCAGGATGCTGCTGTGCACCGGCTTGATGAGCACCTCCTCCTCCATGCTGAGGTCCAGCGCCTCCACCGCGCTGCTGGGGCTGAGCAGGGACTCGTGGGAGCGAGACTCCTTCACCCTGGGCATCAGATGGGACCTGGGGGTGGGCAGCAGGTGTGTCAGGCTGGGCCTGTCACTCCCCTCCCCTGCCTTGTCCCCTCTCCCCCAGGAAGCCTGCCCAGACCCCCCAGTGGGAGGCAGTCGCTCCTTGATCAACCCCCAAGTCCTTGTCCTCTAAAGGCAGACTTGGGAGAGGGGCCCGTCTGTGCAGGAGTCACAGAGACCCGGTATCGGTCCCTTTGCCCACTGCAGGACGCTGCGTGACTGGCTCAGCCTCTAAGGGAGCAAGTGGCTGAGGATGAACCAATCAGGAGCTGAGAGTCAGCACTGAGTGCAGGGCAGGGTCTGCCTGGCTCCCAAGCAGAATCTGAGACCCACCCCACCCCGTCCCCTCCGCCCTGGTCCCCATCCAAGACCAGAGCAGTCACCCATTTGTCCAGAATGTTACTGCCAACAGAGCCTTTCGCATACGCCACCCCACTCGAGGCAGGAGAGCCACAGGGACCTCTGCTGCACCCATTTTATAGATGAGGGCAGTGAGGCTCAAAATGCCAAAATCCAGACAGGTCCAGATGCCGGGGCTTGGGGGCCCAGGCCTGGGACAGTGGGCCCAACACAGATACAAAGAGCAGAGGTAGTGGATGCCACCTGGTGCCAACGTGGAGCCTGGACCTGGTCTGGCTGACAGATCTGGCCTCACTTCTCACCTGCTATGTGGCCCTGGACAAGTCATTACCCCTCCCTGAGCCCCGATTTCTCAGCACAGGCCGTGGAAAGAGCCTCAGACGGCACCTGCACCAGTGGAGTCTGCCTCGGAGCTGTGCAAGTCCCTCTTCAGAGCCACCGCGCACAGCAGTGCCGTGGGAGCTGCCTCCCACAGCTGGGCACAGGAAAAGCTGGAGAGCCTGCCAAGCCTGATAAGACCACCTCTGGCGTGGAAGCTGAGCAGGCCTTGCCCCTCTTCACGTGCACGGCCCAGACCCCCGGCATTGGCACAAAACCCTCCGTGGGCTTTGCTCACCCAGATCTCCCAATCCCTCTCCCTCTCAGCTCCTGGCCTCCAATCCATCAATGTCTCCCTGACCTCATGTCAGTGAGGCCTGGCAGGGTCACCACAAACTTCCCTGCCGGACATACACCTGTAACCTAATTCCATGACCAGCCGGAGTAAGGGAGGCTGAGGCTACTATGTGTGCAATCAGGAATCCAGAGAATAGCAGACGGGTCCTGCTCACAGGGACTCACAGGCTGGCAGAGGCCACCCTCCACCCCCAAACTCCACGTCACCATGGCAGCAGCCCACCCTGACATGGAGTCCTGTGCTGGGTGAGGCATGGGAATGAGAGCTGGAACTGGGACCCCAGCCCTTGGGGACCCCACAGCCCAACCCAAGAGGCAGTCAGCCTCCCTGCACCTGCTCCCCCAGGCCCAGCATGAAGCTGACACATGGCAGGGCACAGATCACTTGTGCCGTATTGATGTCCTCGGGCAGAGCTTCTGAGAGCTCCAAGGGAATGGACAGACCACAGGGAGGCTGTGAGACAGACTGAAATCAAGTTAGAAACACGCAAACCTCCACAAGGCCGTGAGGCCCAGCCCACCAGCATCCCAGCTGGGGTGCCTCTGCTCTTCCAGCGCCCTCTCTGGGAGGCAGTGGTTCACACACATGCGCTATGGCCGAACACGTCACCCCGCGCTAGGTGCCGACAGGCTGCTGCCTTTGACAAGCCCTCCACCTGCTCCCCCGTCACACTCCTGACCAATGCCTTGGGTGGGTCTGTTATGCCCAGGTCTGTTATAGAAGGGGGAGACTGGCCCAGAAAAGGGGATGCTCTCTACCATTTAGGGGGTTTCTAAGGAGGGTGAGCAGGCTTCAGGCACGGGCCCTGGAGCTTAAGCAATTCTACATGGACTTTTATCCCCTTTTACTGCCGGGACCTCTTGCCCCCACCAGCAGCCCCAGGGCTGCTCTTCCTCATGGGGCTTCATGGCCAGTGCAAGAGAAGACCTGCCTCAGATGCTGGGGAAGCCACCAGGCCAGGAACAGCAGGGACCCACAGGCCCTGGGCCTGCCATGCAGGGCTGGAAACCCAGCCTGCAGATCGGGATCGGGCTGCTTTCTGGCCCAGCACAGAAACCCTGCCGGGTAAAGACGCTGGGAACCAGGGCAGGTGGAGTAGGGACCCATGAGGTGCAAACAGAGGGGCTGGTGGGCTGCAGAGAGGGGAGGGAGGCACAATTCAGTGGACTGCGCCTGCCCAGGAGACCGAAGGACCCTGGTTTGACAGGCCAGGAACCCAGCAGGCCCAGACTTGACCTCAAAGTGGCCAGAGCCTGGGGCCTGGAGCTGCAATACCCACTTTTCCTTCCCCAACATCCTGTCCCACAAACATGCCCCAGCTGGCCCCAGCCTCAGGGGAAGGTTCCTGGGTGAACTCTCGTTCAGGCATCCTGGCTGCAGCTGGGCAGCCCTGATTCTCCCCATCTCCCCAGCGTTTCTAGGCCACAGCAGCACCCTCTGGCCAGACCCCTCTGCCCAACTGGCAACACTCCCATCTACCTGCAGTCCCCTCAAGGCCTACAGATAATCAAGTCGCCACACTTCCACCTGGTGTTGAACCCGCCCTGGAATGTCCCCTCTGCACTTGCTCTCACAACCCATCCTGGAAAGATGCTCCTCCTAGCCCAGGGGTGGGCAAACTTTTTGACTCGAGGGCCACAATGGGTTCTTAAACTGGACCGGAGGGCCGGAACAAAAGCATGGATGGAGTGTTTGTGTGAACTAATATAAATTCAAAGTAAACATCATTACATAAAAGGGTACGGTCTTTTTTTTTTTTTTTTTTTAGTTTTACTCATTTCAAACGGGCCGGATCTGGCCCGTGGGCCGTAGTTTGCCCACGGCTGTCCTAGCTGGTCCCTAACTTCCTCTGCTCTGGGATCCATGCCCATGTTCTCTCCTGAACCGTACTACCTCCCCCAACCTTCTCTGCCTCACAAAAACCTTTCTCCATTTTCAAAGCCCAGGCCAAAGCCACCACCACCACGCTGTCCCTAGTCCCTCCAGCGGACAAGCGCTCACACTCAGGCCATGTGGCTGAGCCCCACTCCACACCATGTCCCACCTGTCTCCTCACCTAATTAATTCTCCTGACAACCCATCAGGATCGAGGTTCCACGCCTCAGAAAGGCCAGGTGGCTCGCCCATGACTGCACGGTGGCAGGTGGCAAAGGCCGCGTGTGATGTGAACTGCATTCAGCAGAGTCCAAGACTAACTCCATCAACACAAGGTTCGTCTTCTCATCTCCCCACAGATGATGGGCAGAGAAAGGTCCATAGCCAGCTGACCTGCTCACTGGAACCCACTCCTTCCAGGTCTGGGAGAAAGAGCTAGAGAGACTGGCTGGGACAGGGCACCCCTCCCAGGAGCCCAGGAAACGTGGGCACACCACGGGCAGGGGCAGAGGCAGAGCTGCTGCTGGAGATACAGCCAGGTCCCAACAGCAGCTCATTGTGCGGCCAGGGAGCAGGAACAAGGAGACCTTGTCCCAGCTCCTGGGCCACAGCCTTATCTGATAGCTTTCCAGCCAACCCACGAGCTGTTTTTCAACCCCGTCCTTTTTTCTCTTAAAAGGTTAGTGACACAGAAGTTTAGCAAATTCCCCATTATTTCAAGGAGGGAGGAGACCCCAAAACAAAACCTGCAATTATCAACAAGTTCCTGACATGGCGAGGACTTCGCCAGCTCTGGGTGGGGTGAGCTGAAAGTGGGGTTGTATAGCCTGGAAAGTAAGAGCCTCAGAGCGGGCAGAGGGAGCTGCCCTGTATGCCCACAGGGAGTAGGGCTGGGACCAGGAGAGGTCAATTACAGCTCAGTCACAGCTGGCCCCACACGGGCCAGGCTGGTTCTAGGGGAGTCAGCACCCAGGCTCTGACGGTGTGCAGGTAGGAACTGGGAGACCCTTTCAGACATGCTGTGGAGATGCCTACACTGCTAGGGGGCTGTTAGGGTAACAGGCGGGCAGTCAGAACATGCAGGCAGGCAGTGGAAGCAGCCCCAGGAGTGAGCACGCACGCCCCCTTGCCCCCCGACACACACCTGTCGATGGGAACAGGCAGGAGGGCCTAGTGTCAAGGGTGCCCAGCTGTAATCTAGTCTCCATTCCTTATAAAACACACAACCTTGAGATTTTTAAATCATTCAACTCTCCAGGCCTCAGTTTCCCCATCCATAAGTGGGGAGAATGAATCTCTTCCTCAGAGGGCTGCTGTAAGGATCAGGTGAGAATGTGGGGGAGATGCGAGGGAGAGCAGGGGTAAATGCCGGTGACTCCATCAGTCACTTGTGGCAGGTCCAGCAGGAGCAGGGAACGGCTGTGAACAAGGAAGGATGCACCTGCTGTTATCGAGGTTGACAGCAGATGACGCTCTTGACATTTGGGGTGACAAGATAGGGACTCCCCAGGCCATTCTGTTTCCTTCCTCTGACCACTCAAATCCCTTACCTTCTCCATGCCTCCATTTCCCCCATCTACAAAATGGGACAAACTCCCTCTACCCAAATGCAGGGATGTCTCAAAAAAAAAAAAGAGCCCTTAATTTCCTGCGTGGGCCCTTGCCACTGCCACTGCCATAGCCAGGCCTGGAAGGGGCAGAATCCTGGATAAAGCTGGTCTCCAGAGAGGAGGTGCCCACTTAAGGGCTGGCAGGACCTGCGGACTGTGGAGTCAGGTCACAGCATGCCAACCATGCCTCTGCCTGTCACAGCCGGGCAGGTCCAGGAGGCCGTGCTGAGAATCTGCCCACGGGTCCTGGCACACAGGCAGAGAAAGGGCGCCGACCTCCTGGGAATCCAGTGAATCTAGTGGCAGGACAGTGCCCCACCCAGAACGCCCAGCAGAGCCAACTCCCCCCAGGCTCAGCCTCGCCCTCCAGGCCTGGGAACCAGCTGCTCAGCGGCCACAGCCAGCACTCAACTCCTGGCCCAGCTGGGGTCCCAGGGGAAGGGAGAAGAATGCAGCCGCCCTGCGGCTCCC